GTCGCCTACCTCGAGTCTGCCCCTGATGGTGGCAGCCTGGGCAAGCTCATCTTCAAGGACATCGCTGACGACCAGAAGGTTGTCAAGGAGGTGGAGGCGGTCGCCAAGCGCTTCATTTCCTGGGACAACAGCAAGTGCTTGCACAGCTTCAAAGCGCGCTACCAGGGCACACGACGCTTGCTCGGTCCTCTTGCGTTGACTTCGTACGGAGACATGGTAAAGGTGGGGATTATCACCCAGCCGACCACCACGACAACGACCACCGAAGAGCCGGAAGCACCGAAGAGCTACTACGGTAGTTGGAAGAAGAAGTGGTGGTCCTGGAAGAAGGGATACTCCGGCTACCCGCAGGCAATTACCAACCTCGTTCAGGACAGCTCGTCGGACACCGTACATTTCATGCAGATCGACAAGAACGGCAGCCACAAGGAGCTTTGAGTCGCAAGGTGCATATGATCCGGTTTTGTGTACTCTTTCCAGGCATGTCAGGAGATCCAGTCTCAATGAGAGCGTTTTGTTAAGCCAGCGGCAGCAGAAGCGGACATGCATCAAGGGAGCTTATAAGCAGCTGAGTTCTAGCCATTTAGGTTTGCATATCACTTCCAAAGTGCCGGTGGGAAGGGTTCCAGAAAGACGGCCCAAAAGCGGCCCGCAGATCTTGGTTTGGTGTGTTTCGACGTGACGAGGGCCATCCTTTAGGCTCTCGCGAGAGATAGGAGCGATCAAAAAGACTCACAAATATGTCACTGTGCTGCGTAAGTGTGCCTCTGAAGCGGAGTTGTGACTGAAGCTCCCACACGATTGGCATCCGGGTGACATCACCACGCATCAAGCAGCTCAGCAATCCTTTGCGGGCCTTTTGCTTGGGATTGGAAGTTTTCCAGGTTCAGGAATGCAGCTGAGTCTTTGCAAGCTCAGCACCTACTACAGGGGCCATAATAATCATTATCATTTATAATCATCATATTATTCACAGGATTTCGTAGAGAATTAGTCAGTCGTATTAATTCTGATATTCAAAATAATTCATAAATGCATTGCTTAAGGGCTCCCTCAGGCGATTTCTCAGAGCCCGCCTTCGTCTACAAGGGTGTTTGCGGCGTTAGAGGGTCTTTTCCCTATATAACCTCATTCAACCTTAGACCTTTAAGGAACCCGATTATAGAAGCCCATAGTACCCCTTAAAGGAACCCTCATGCGCTTGTCTGTTCGCACTGAACCCAGGAAGCAGGAAGAGAGAAGACGGCCGGCCATACTCTTCTTCCATTCCAATGCAGGCATGCGACTGTCGGGTTTTGGGGTTTAGGGGTGTAACGGTTTTGGGGTTTAAGGTTTGGGTTTGGGTTCGGGATTTTATATTTTCAGGGTTTAAGCTTTAAGGTCTGGATTTTGGGTTTAAAAATTACGTAGGTGCAGGGAAGCCTGGTAAAGTGTAGGATGCTTAACAAGTAAGCAAGAAAGAAAGTAAGCAAGCAAATATGTATCTAAAAATGTACACCTGCAGGTGTGTAACTATGTAGTCTCCCAATTATGCGATTATGCAAATATGTTTGTATGTATGCATGTATGTGTACGTATCTAAGTGTGTACGTATGCAAGGAGGTAGGTGGGGTAGGTCTTTGTGTATGTATGCGTGCATGTACGTGTGCGTAGATACGTAATCTGTCTATATATATATACACACACATCTTAGGCTGCATACTGTATATATTTATATGTATATTATACATAGTCCCTCAAGTGTAGTTGACTATTTTGTTTCACTGCGTATCACATCCGAATGTGGATGGTTGTCCAATGTACTGCTACCACAACACCCAGCACGTCACTGGAACAACAAAGTGACATACCGGTCTGAAAGCACGTCGTGACACGGCTTGAACATGTTTCACAAGGTACGAAGTTAGAGCACGGCCAAGAACCAAAATTAACACGACAACCAAAACTTGGGTGTTCGTATCAAGAACAGCAATATCAGACGTTAGTCCTAGTAATAAAGCCGGGATTTGATCTCAGGATTGGGGCCTACAATCTCTGCAGAGGGGTGGGGCTCAATCTGAAGTTCAGTTTATGCAGTGGCCAAGCCACGACACGATACTGTGATCATCCGGAAAACGGCTTGCTGTACTGCTTCGAGACTCGTAACAGATCCGTGAGGAGATATTTCTCAGCGCCTGGACTTCTTCAAGCGTTGCTGCCGAAACTTAGATGCCTCTCAGAAGCAATGCTCAAACTTCCGATGTGCCCTAAACACTAAGTTACAGTTAGGGGGTTTTAGGCTAGGTTTCAGGGGCCCTGGAAACTATGGGGTGGGGTTTGGGGTCTATAGGGGACTAAAGAAACCGTATAACCCCTAAAGAAATGAACGCGGAGGCTTTTGCATGGCATCTGATCATGGGTCTTCAGGCTTGTCAAGTTAAGAGAGGGGCCTGAATAAATACTATAGTATCATGTGCGATACCCCCAGGCAGAAACAAAGCCTCAGTAACCCTAAACCCTAAACCCTAAGCCCTAGACTTAGGTGGTCGTGCTGGCCATGGAGTACAGAGGCTATGGCCGTTCGGAGAACGGAGGCGGGCTATGCAGGATAAATGGGGAGCGAGGCCTCAGGTTCGGGATCACTGACCCATGTTTAGGGCTTAGGGATTAAATGGTTTAGGGATCTAAGGATTTAGGGTTTAGGGATTTAGGGATTTAGGGATTTAGGGTTTAGGGATTTAGGGATTTAGGGTTTAGGGTTGTTCTGTACAGGGTTGCTTCTCAATGCCTACGGACGCCTGCTCTCGTCGCATACCACAATAATGCCGTGAGGATTTAAGCTATCTGGCTGAGATGTGGAGCTGTGTAGACACAGAGGCACTGCCTTCCTTGTGTTTGAACAGATTGAAGTTGTTTCCGAAGTTTAGTTGCGTCATGGCTCCTGCACGAGACTACTACACACGGAACGTGTTGGTAGTTCTCTAAATAAGGGTCCCTTGAGGGTCCTTTTCATAAGGGTGCCATATTATTATGGCGAACTTAAAAAAGGGATCCTAATTTAGAGAACTACCCATATCAGGCCCTTATAGTACCTTTGTAGAAACCCTGTAAGAAACCTTCGTATGAATCATAGTACCCATAAGAATACATACTAAGTAGTCATTTGCATTATTCATACTCATCATAATAATTCATACACCCTAAACCCTAAACCCTAAACCCTAAACCCTAAACCCTAAACCCTTAACTTAAGGGCTCCCTCAGAGGCGGTTTCTCAGAGCCCGCCTTCGTCGAAGATGCGGCCGCTGCCTATGAGTGGCTCGTGACGTATGCGACCTCCGCGGCCTGACTTTGACACGGTCCACGGTTTAGGGGTTTAGGGGTTTGGAGTTTAGGGTTTAGGGTTTAGGGGTTTAGGGTATGTGGGGTTCCTTTGAGTGTTTTAGAGGGTTTAGGGATTAAGGTTAAGGGGTAAGGGATTTAGGGTTGAGGGTTGAAGCTTAGTTAAGGGTTGATGTTGATGCAGGTTCACGATTGGCTGGGCTGCGAAAGGACAAGACAAGCAGTCCGGAGCATACCCCCAGCCTTGAGGAGTGTTGAGCCTAAAGAGCTTTTTATCACCTAAAGGGTTCATACCGGGGGTTCGAGGCAATGACCTTTCCGGGTTTAAGTCGGGCATGTGGCGGTTCAGCGGTTCGAAGAAGACAAACTGAGCCTGAGATCCTGAGTATCTTACAGTATCACGGTTTAGGGTTTAGGGTTTAGGGTGAAGGAACCCTAAGGAATACTGTTCTAATCCTGAAGCATAGTACCCATAGCTCGAAGAACATACGACTTCAGGGGTCAGAAGAGTCACAACCTATACCATGCTGTAGGAATTTAGCTGCAGAAAGGGTTCAGGGGTTAGAGAAGAACATCAGATCATAACAATAGTCAAACCCCAAACCGCGATCAGAAAGCAACCGAAAGCCTACATCGCAGGTAGGAGAAGGAGTCCGTAGCAAAAAACATGCATCCAAACCCACGTCCTAAATCCAGAACTTGAAGCACCACCCGAGGAGAATTCGGTGGTGGATCCCTCTCGGATTTTCGTCTTCGGGCGCTCGCTGGGCGGCTGCGTCACGGTGCGGCGTGTTATCGAAGCAGAATCCCCGCTTTTTCTACACCTCTCCGGTTCAAGCTAGCTGCCTTGATTTGCCGTTGGACTCAATGGAATTAAACGGCAATTTCGGTGCTCTGTTGCGAAAGACTGGGAACGCTAGTTTTAGCTTTTTCTGAAGCCCTTTCTCCGAGAGCCCCAACTTGCAAACCCTGCCCCAAAGCCTTAAACCCTACAGTTCGAGGCCGAGAAACCCCCATGCCGAAGCCCAAACCCTCAAAGGCCACAAGCGACTTATAGAAGTCGTCTAACCCCCCAAAACCCCAACCCGAAAAAGTCTTCTAACCCCCAAAGCCCTAACCCGAAAAAGTCTTCTAACCCCCAAAACCCTAACCCGAAAGTGCTTAAACTCCAAACCCTGAGATCCATCTCGGGAGGTGCGACTGGTAGCTCATCTTCTTGGCGCTTCGCCGCACCTACGCCAGCCACTAGGACCGGTTTTTGGGTTTCGTACAAGGGGTCTCTGGAGTTCTGCGGTGTTTAGGGTTTAGGGGCTTAGGGGTTTAGGGGTTTAGGGGTTTAGGGGTTTAGGGTCGAGGGGCTTAGGAGTTTAGGGCTTAGGGGTTTAGGGGTTTAGGGGTTTAGGAGGGGTTAGGGGTTTAGGGGTTTAGGAATTAGGGGTTTAGGGTTTATAGGGGTTTCGGATTTAGGATTTTGGGCTTCAGGCTACTCAGAGACTTAGAGGATTCGTGATGTTGCGTTTCGGGTTTATGGATGTGCTATTTTAAAGCCTGCACGAAGACTCCAATCGTGCAGCCCACTTAAACCTTGCGCCCTAAACCCTAAAAGACAAAGAATTGCACCGAATCGCTGAGCGTCTTGCCCGGCTGAGCGTCTTGCCCTCTTGGGGTTAAGGGCATTGGGAAAAGGCTTTAGGCTTTAGGGCTTAGGGCATTGGGTTTGTTGAGTGAAAATCTTGAGTCATTGGGGCTGGAACTGCTGCTTAAGCTTCAGACGTGCGGCTCAAGTAATAAACAAAAATCACAGCACTTTTATACGCCAGTAGAAACAGTATCAGTAGCAGCAGCGGCAAAACACGCACATACACACCACCAAAACAAAAGTCGTCACAGTCATCCTTCTGTCCTACAATTCTGACGAGCCCCCCGCCCCCAAACATACCGAAACCCTTAAGCCGAAAGGCCCAAATCGCTAAACCCGTGTACATGCTATTTCGGGCTATTTCGCTACGGTGTAGGATATGTGGCTTAACTGTGACAATGGAGCAAGCCTCTCAGCAAAGTGAGCATCAGGGGCCCAGCTTAGGTTGCATGCAATAGAAGCCAAAATAGAATAACTACTCCTATTATTCCTCAGGGTTCCTTAGTGTATTTATACTTTGCAGGAGCCCAAAAGCCTATTCTATGTATTAAGGCCCCTATACCAAACCCTACTTATAGTATCCCGAAACAAGCTCTCATAAGGAACCCTATTCTAAGTATGAAGGCCCCTATCTTAGGCCTCTAGGCTCTCTTTCGGCCCGAATGCCCCTTTTAAATCGCTTTTGGAGTTCCCAAGTCGGCGGCTTAGGAGAGTGGTATTCTGGGGGGGGGGGGAGAAGTTTAGGGTTTAGGGTTTATGATCAGAAGAGTGTTTTGGGGGTGGATATTTAGAGTTTTCTTCGAGCATATATTGCGAGGTCCGCCAAGAAAGACGCAGCTCCAAAACCCCTACACCCCAAAGTCCTTAATGGTTTAGGGTTCAGGGTTTAGGGTTTAGGGTCCTTAAGAGACCCTTTAAAGTCAGTGGAGTTCCAAAGAATCCAGAACATCCTCCAGCCTCCGACCCCAAACCCGATAGGCAAGACCCTGAGCCCTGAACACGGCGAAGGGTTCAGGGTGCAAGGATTACAGTAGAAGCTCAAAAGTTGGAAGCCCAATAGTCTCAATCCTTAAGAGTCATGTAAAGGCAATCCCAGCACTAATTGGCCTTTTTCCGGTTTCCAACTTTTTGGGGTGTCTATGGACCCTAAACCCCTAACCCGAGCTTCCCTTCAGCAGGCCTTGGGCCTTAGGATTCAGGCCCTGCCCCCCTAGCCAAAAGCAGGTTGCGCACAGTCGCCGACGCTGCCGCTGCCCGCAGGACGTGCCAAGAGATTCCAGAAGAACGGTGAGATAGGGTTTACAGTTTAGGGGTGTCGGGGTTCAAATTCGGGGTTCATGGGATACGGCTTTCAGGGTTTCCGGGTTAGGGGGTTAGCGCTCAGGGTTCAGGGCCTAGGGTTTTGGGGTTTACGCCTTTAGGGGAGCTTCCCAAAAGACACGGGGAAGCCGAGCCTGGAGCAAACACGCTTCCATCCTTGCTTACCCCAAATTGAGGTTTAGGGTTAGGGTTTAGGGCCCCGACTGTAAGAAGGCACAATTGCGGGCTCCTTTTAAACTGGAGGTAAGTTCCTAAGAGGCTTGAAGACAGGGATGTTGCTGTGTGGGGGTCCATCGTTGGACGGAGTTTGAATTCTTAGAGTTTGCGAAATAGCTGAGAGCTCTTCCTTAGTTAGAAGAGGGATTTTCCACAAGTCAAGTCCTTTCTCTAAACCAGGATGTCGGGGCCACGCTTTGGTGAGGTGTTGACTTAGAGAATGTAAAAAGGCTCAGGAGGTAGAAGTCGCAGTATAGCCAAACTGTCGGCTTTCCTGGGGTTAAGACTCGAAAGTGCTGTTCATGGGCACTAAACCCTAAACCCTAAAACCTAAACCCTAAACCCTAAAAGGCTTCGAACAAGATGATGACGCTGCAGGACTGATCCTTGAGAACTCTCCCTCTTCGATCTCGGCTGTGGTGCGGCACCTGCTGCCCCCACTGAGGCACCCTGAACTCCATGTGACTCTTTAGGGTTTGGGGTTTAGGGTTTTAGGGTTTAGGGTTTAGGGTTTTAAGGTTTAGGGTTTAGGGCTTCAACCCCCCAAAAAAGTCCAAAAAAACACCTCTCCACGCACACGTGCGGACAAAAACCACGAAGCATCCGAACATCCTGAGCCGTAACACCCAAAGCCCCCACTGCTTCAGCCTTGAATCCCCTTCTCAAGCTTCCTCAAACCCTTACGTCAATAGTTCGCGTATCGCGGGTATGGGGCTAAACCCAACAAGGACCCTGCGTCTCAGTTCTGGTTTTGGGTGGGCTCAACCCTAAACCCTATATAAATCCCAAACCCTAAACCCTATAAATCCTAAACCCTAAACCCTATAAATCCTAAACCTTATAAACCCTATAAAATCCTAAGCCCTAAACTGTATGGCTTGGGAGTTGAGGGTCTGGGTGCTGAGACAGAGGATCGTCAGAGGGGCTGGTGGGCAAAATCTTTGGTCTTTGGGAGAGCCGTGACTCGCAATTCGGGCTTCCTCGTCGTCGTCGTCGAGTAGCAGTAGCCGTAGCCTTAGCAGTAGTAGTGGTGGTGGTGGTGGTGGTGGCGGTAGTTGTAGTAATTGTGGTCGTCGCGCCGTGCTCGTGCCTCGTAGTAGCAATGGTAGCAGCACTAGTGGTGCGTAGTACGGTTTTTGTGTCCTTTTCTCCGATCCTGAACCCTAAAACCCAAACCCTATACCCCTAAACCCCTAAACCCCCAAATCCCTGAACCCTAAATCCTAAATCCTATATCCTCTAAACCCAAAATCCCAGACCCCTCAAGCCCTACCCCCTAAATCCTAAGTCCTAAGCCCCTAAACCCTAAATCCTAAGCCCCTAAAGCCCTAAAGCCCCAAACCATAAATCCTAAACCCTAAGTCCCCCAAACCCTAAATCCTAGACCCCTAAAGCCCTAAACCCTAAATCCCAGATCCCGCAAAGCCCTCAAACGCGAAGGTGGCTGCCTCCGAGCCTCCTCTCGTGGCCCCTGCTGTTGGATGAATGGCGGAGCAGGGACTGGCTCGACTGGCTCCCTGCTTGCCTCTTAGGGTTTAGGGGTTAGGGGTTTAGGGTTTAGGGTTTGGAGTTGTGGGGTTTAGGGTTTAGGGTTTAGAGGTTTAGGGTTGAGGGTTTAGGGTTTAGCATTGCGGGTTCACAGAAGCCTGAAGCATGTCCAAATTCATTCCTTGGGGTTCCTGATGATAATTCTACGAGCAAGGAGCCCAAAACCCTACTGTATTCTTGTTAGTAAGGTACCTGCATTAAATGGATCAGTAGCTGTGAATTTCAGTCGTCCGAGCAAGACCAACAATTAGAAGAAAGACAGTCATTGCGGAGCCAGAGAACGGCAGAGTTTGCAGGGCTGGGCAAACCTTCCCGTTGCCCTCGCCAGATAAAGGGCGGCGCCTAGCTAGGTGCTTCATCTCTGTTTGTCGAGTCCAAGATAATCCTTCGGTTTCAGAGATAGAACAAAGCTTTGGGATGGAGTAATATTCCAGACCATTCCAAGACTGTTCAAGCTTAAAAATGCCAAGGATCGGTGGAGGCTTGGCGGAGTTGCCGGAAAGGCAGGGCTTGTGTGAGAAGTCGGAAACTGTGGGCCCGCAGAGACCGAGGTTTAGGCTTAAATGGCGACGGGGCGTGGGCCCTTTCATACAGGTTTCCAAAACCCCTTACTGTAATTTAGGAGCTTATTTGGAGTCATAGTAAGGATCCTACTTTAATTCCAGGTATATTCCTTCATTAGCCTGCGCAGGCCGAAGGCGCGCCTCGCCGTTTGCCTCCTCTCTGCGGCCAGCGATCAGGTGCCGGGGTTTAGGGTTGAGGGTTTAGGGGAAAGGGTTCAGGGGTTTAGGGTTCAGGGGAAAGGGTTTAGGGTTTAGGGTTCAGGGGTTCAAGGTTCAGGGTTTCGGGATTAGGGGTGTGTCATGTGGGTTTAGAGGGTAGGTGGGCCCAGCAGTTCATCATCATGCGGGTTTAGGGGTTTCCCTCGGTGTTTGCTTTTGGGTTTCAGGCTTTAGGCTGTAGAGCATCCACTATCTGGTTACTTAGCCGCTGATTGGCCCGGGAACCCCAACCTTTAAACTTTGAGCCCTCAATGCGGAGCTCTTCACCACAGGCACCCTGCTTCGATGGCGAGCTCGGGGTTTGCGGCGCCAATCTTTGGGCTCGAAATTCCGAGGTGCCAATGTTCCCAAGACTTAACCCCCAAAACCCGAAGCCCCAAATCCCGAAGCCCCAAAGCCCGAAGCCCCAAAGCCAAAACTTTAAGCCCAAGAGCACAGCTAAACTATAAAAACCATGCCGTAATCCAGCCCCATACTGGGGGCTCCAGGCGAGACGGTCACAACTTTCTGCCCGAAGTCACTGCTCAGGTGTAAGAGTTCACGGTTTTTTTGCAAAGCTCGCTGCAGGTTGTGCCACCCTCCTGCATGTCCGACCTCTGCCACACTGCGCAGAGCCACGGTGCTACTCTTAACACCTGGTTCCACAGTTTTGCCAGGCCTGATACTGGGTACTGAGAGAGGGAGTGTGTATGTACATATGCATAAATAAATAAATAAATATATATATACACACACATACATACATGTGTACCACCTATCTCTCTAGTTATATAATTGTTTAACTATGTAAGGGCCTAAATATCTATCCATCTATCTATCTATCTATCTGTCGATCTATGCATGTACGTGTATATATATATATAGACTATATAGAGATGTATATATGTCAGGGCTATTCAAGTTTAGAGCTTCGAGCTGACGATTGCTGCCGTGCTTCTGGTTTAGGGCTTAGCGGTTTAGGGTTTAGGGTTTAGGGGGGTGGGGGTAGGGCTGGATTTCTGTCGACTGGCTCTGGTGCAAGTTGGCAAGGCTGCGATGATATGAGCTTCGATCTGCACCTCGTTTCTCCGTCCGTGTGGTTCGCTGCGTTCAGTGGTGCGGAATCTGCTGTAGTCTCGCATTATCGCATATCGCATACATATACAAGCCTTGGTATAGGAGCATGTCGATCTTCCCCAGCCCTTCCAGGGGCGAGCACATGAACACGTACATCCTCGCTGGCGATGCCTATTGGGATCCTCTCAATGACTTCGTCCACCGCCGATTTGCGAGTACTGAGAAGGCATAGCCCTCTTAGGGCGCTTCCTCCGACCTTGCGTGAGAACCTGCTCAACATGTTAGGGTTTGGGGGCTTCTTCATGGCTGCAGGGGGTTTCGGATTTCCTCTGTAGACTCGTATCGGTATGTCGTGCCAGGTCTGAGTGATGACTTCTTCATGGAAGGGGGCCTCCACTTGTTACTTCTTGAGGCTTTAATAGCTTTTCAGGCTGCGCTGTTGCCAGTGACTAAGTAACTAAGAGTTGTCTTGTCAATGCGAAGCCGAGCACCCACGGAGCAGCGCGATGCAGATGAGAGTCGTGAAGCGCCCTGAAATCAGCCATGTGTTGAAGCCGGCAATGTAGATCTTAAGGAGCTTGAATACCAAACCGGCTGTTGCTTTCTGCACGCTTTGGCCATTTCCGTCGAAGTGCTGTGATGTGGCTGCATCGGAACACGGACGCCTAAGCCGACCTAAGCGACCCATAAGTTCCTAAAAACCTTAAACCCCTCAACCCTACAAATCCTAACCCCTGAACCCCTTAGCTCCTAGACCCTAAACCCCCTAAACCCCTCATCCCTAGCGCAGCCCTGGCTTCAGTCCACGATCACCGGCTGAGGAATCTTCCGACCAGAGACCCCTCGGACTTCTGCCTTGGACCATCGCCTTTAGGGTTTAGGGTTTATAGGGTTTATAGGGTTTATAGGGTTTATAGGGTTTATAGGGTTTATAGGGCTTATGGGGTTTATAGGGCTTTTAGGGTTTATAGGGTATAACCTCCTAGGTAGTATTAGGCAGACCCCCTTAAAGGGGACCCTTCTGAACCCTACTTGTGGCTCCCTTAAAGGGAACCTTATTGAGAGGGTCTATATCCCCAGGGGGTCCCCCTAATCCTAACTCCCACAACCTTAGTTGCAGGCTTAAGGTTTAGGAGAGGGTGTAGGGTTTAGGGTTATTACGGCTTACGGTTCAAGAGCTGCGTATGCCGCCCCTTGTTTCAAGAAGCCCCGTGCAAGCGATGTTCATGGTACATTGTCTACTTGTGTGGCTTTTGTGCGTGTGTTTGTCATGGTATCCTTGAACTTGGTTTGATTCATATATGGTGCTCCTGACTAATTTGATACCGTGACCGTTTAAAACATACCCTTTTGTAGGTTTCTTATGATAAGCCCTGATATGGAACTTATGGGGACCCTACAGAGAAGTAGGTTTTGGTAGGTTAAGGTAGGATCTCAGGAAGGCTTTGTGCAGGTTGCCTGACGTTTTGGGATCTGGGTACCTTTCAAGCCATCTGAAGCCTGAGTCTAAACCCTAAACCCTCGACCCGAAACCCTGAACCCTAAACTCTAAACCCTAAACCCGAAACCCTAAACCCTAAACCCTAGACCCTAAACCCTAAACCCTAAAACCCTAAACCCTAAAGCCTAAGCTCTTTTGAAGCCATCTGAAGGCGAACCAGCTGTGGGGCCGTGGGGCTTAAGGGTGGGAGCTTGGGGTCGGGAGGTTGGGCTTTCAGGATTTTAGGGTTTTTAGGGTTTTAGGGTTTAAGGGTTTTAGGGTTTTAGGGTTTTAGGGCTCCAGGGTCTTAGGGTTTTAGGGGTAAGAGTGTGCGTTTGAGCAAGGCTTAGGGAGCTCTGAGCCCTGGAGACAGAAGTCCGAATCGCTTCCGGCGGGGTCTGGTCACGAGCTCGCTGCTACGGCTGACGGCTGAGTTTAGGGTCCCTTTAGGGTTTGGGG